CATCTTAGTACATGTGTTTGTATATTAGTGTTACCTTTTTGTTGATACTGCATCACGAGCGCTTGGCCTAGGAGTGCGAAGCAAGGACAAGTTTAGCAAGTGTCAGCATTCAGAAGCGTCGGCAGCATTACCAACAACAACACTCACGACAACCTTTGTGCGATGATAACAATGATCAACGGAGATCTCCATCATCGAGTTTTTCACAACAGCACTCACAACATGTTCAAAGCGGTGATCGTTGATGTCAGGGCCCCTGGTCCTTGTTCAGTAGTTCGTGTAAGTTCGTGTGAGTTCGTGTGAGGAGTTTGTGAATCTCGTGCAGCGGATGAGAAACCCAAGGATGCCAAATATCAGGTGCCGATGAAGTTCAGGCCAAGTGTGGGAGCCGTGCCGTGACTTACAGTGTCGATCTTTCTGCAGGAGTGACCCGTTCCTGCTTTGTGGCTTGGGCCTGAGCTTTATCGTTGCTGGCATGTCTATCGTCCCGATGTAGCCTAGAATTCATCCAGCCTTACATGTACGAAGGTACGACTCAGTCATGCCAGGAACTGGTGAGCACGTGCTGCACCGCAGCCGAAAAGGTTTGAGCACAAGACAATGTCGAGGGCGATCAAGCCCTGCATTGCACAGCGTATCAGCAGGTTGTGCTGCACAGTGCCTTTGAGGGGTAGGCGCACGACAGGTCAGCCAACAAATTTCCCAAAGGGCAACAGATTGCAATGATAAAGCCGGCCCTAAACCTGTCCCGAAGCCTTTTTTAATTTGAAACCCTCGCATCCTCGAGCGTAAACGCGAACAAGAAGGCGAAACCTCAACCCCAAACTCAAAAAGCCCTGAGACCTGAAGCGCGAAAGCAACGTACCGACGGCTTCCCACCCAGGCTTTTCCTGCTCTTTCGTCGGGTCTCCAGGCAGGTTTGGGGCTTACTTAGCGTTCTGGCCCTAGCCTAGTCCTGCGGTTTAGGGTTTAGGGGTTTGGGGTTTAGGGTTTAGGGGGAGGGCTTAAGAAAGTAGAGTTCTTAGGATGTAGGGCTTAAGTTTGAAAGGTTTGTGGTTTAGGGCTAGGGCTTTGTGGTGGCGTTAATGTGTCTTGGGGTTAAGGGCTCGGGAACTTTGGAAAATTTCAGGATTTCACGGTTTAATTTTTCGTGAACGTCACCATCTAAGAATAATACTTTCAAGTCATTTTGCTGCGTCATTGCTGTTTTTCTGGCACTCTTGTTGTTCGTCTTGTCTTGTTGAGTAGCTAGCCGGAGACCTGAGCACACAAACTCTTCCAAAGCGGAATGACTCATAGGTACCCTTGGGGGGGGCAGGGGACAATATTTCCGGAAATAGGCCTTATTAAGTCCCTATTATGGGTATTAAGGCCCCCTACCCCCCTCCCCCCTACCCTGCTATGGGTCCTTATGAATGAAGGGGGACTGGCGATCCCCTGTAGGACCCTTGATCGCACCCTTGGAGGCCTGACAAAGTCCAAACTCCAGACACAAAGTTAATCCAAGTCTATGGATGAGTGCCCAAAGGTGAGAATAGTCGACGTTGTTCTTCGTGGCGGCTACTACGAAGCTCGGATGTCCGGACGAAATTGTCGGCCGTGCCAGCAACTTCAATGAGAGCATATCTTAGTTCTAAGCATTAAACCACCAAGACCTCAACCCTAAACCCTAAACCCTAAACCCTAAACCCTAACTCTAAACAAACCTGAACGTCAAGCCACGAGAGCAGGCATCCCAGCAGACGCCCTCTGTGCGCGGAGGAAGGCGACAAGCTCTCGGACTCGACTTCGAAGGTGCATGGTCTGCGGTTCGACGAGAGTTTTAGAGCTTTAGGGCTTTAGGGCCTAGGATTTGGTAAACCTCCAAATCCGACACCCCCTAAACCCCAAACCATCCCCCGACTGCTTAGCTGCAAAGACAGAGGCACTCCGGTTCTGCTCGCGGACCAGACAGACGCATCCGGTCGCCTCTGCATGTTGTATTAAGGTCTGTGAGTTCAGAGGTTCTGGCGTTGGTAGGGTTTATAAGGGTTAAGGGCTTAGGGGTTAGGTGAGTTCAGAGCTTCAGGGCGTTAGGCTTCGAGGGCAACAGGCTTTCCGCATGTTTGGTTCTGTTCTGAGGGTTGGCAGATTCACGCCGCGGCATGGCAGGCTTCCCTGTAGCTGCCGTTGCCGGGCTTGCTGTCATCCTGCTGCATCCTCAGATTGTGTTTGGGATGCATAATATAGGGACTTAAATTTCAAATAGTTGTCTACAAAGTTTGGGGTTCCTTACTATACTTATAGCATAATGGGCCCATACCCTATTCTTAAGGCCCCTATAGTACCCCTTAACCCTAAAACCCATGCAAATTGAAGGTTGTTTTCAGATCCGTGCAAACAGGTGCGCGGACCCTGTGCGCTGGACCCAGGACCCTGTGGTTAGTTCTCCTCTAAATTTGGTCACGTTTTTAGGTCCCCAATGCAGTACTTCAATTATATTAGAAGGACACTAACAGGTACCCCAATTTAGAGAGCTCCCCTTGTCCCTAAACCCTGAAATCCCCAAGTGGAAGTTTCGGGCACTCATGCAGCCTCAGTAGAGATCAGGCTTGGTGCGGCAGTGGTGGCTTTCGCAGGGGGCCGAGGGGCGTTTTTCTTGTTGGGGGTGTAGTGGGATTAGGGTCTAGAGGGCTGAAGGCTTTTTTGGGGGTTTAGGCAGGTTTTCGGTATTTTCCATATGTTGTCTTGAGGCTCGTTTCTCGCTCGCGGGTTTCCAGGTTCAGGGCGACAAATGGTTGAAAGTCTACGGGTCTTTCATTGCCGTCAACGAAGACGGGGAGATGTGTTGTTCCCTTGAAGCCAACATACGTGCTGCTGGAAGCAGAACAGCCCTAGTGATCAGAATGTTGATAGCGGCAGTTATCAAGAGGAACGGCGGTAAGGGTGAGCATGTTGGTACTTATGAAACGGGCAGGACAGTCATGATGTGACTGTGAGGATTGCCATGAGGGTCATGCAAATGCTACGCCAGGATCATGACTGCAGACACTTGCCATGACCGTTTCTGGTAGAGTAGATAATCTGCAATATATTTGCAGCAGTTCTAGCAGTCTGGTGGTTGCGGTGGTGGGTAGCAGTGGTAGTGGTAGTGGTAGTTGCAGTAGTAGGAGTAGTAGCAGCAGCAGTAGTGGTAGGAGGAGCAGTAGTAGCAGTTGCAGTAGCAGTAGTAGTGGTGGTGGTGGTGGTGGTGGTAGTAGTCGTAGTAGTAGGAGTAGTAGTAGTAGTAGCAGTAGTGGTAGTATTAGTAGTAGCAGTAGCAGTAGCAGTACCAGTAGCAGTAGCAGTAGCAGTAGCAGTAGCAGTAGCAGTAGTAGCAGTAGCAGCAGTAGCAGCAGTAGCAGCAGCAGCAGCAGCAGCAGCAGCAGCAGCAGCAGCAGCAGCAGCAGCAGTAGTAGTAGTAGTAGTAGTAGTAGGAGAGGCAGTAGCTGTGGCTGTAGATACTAGTACGACCACTACCAGTGATCCGTGGAAGGGCTTGAAGTGCTGAGGCTGGCCAGTCCAAGCCCAGAGAGGATGGCGCCAAGGAGGAGGCCCCGGAGAATTTGGTGTGTAGAAGGTGGACATAGGTGGACACCCCGTATGAAAGAGGCTGTTTCCACAACCCCAAGCCCCGACCCGAGCGAAGTGCAGGGGCGTCACTCATGCTCAGAATGAGGCCTCAGATCATTTTTTCGAAGCTTCGAGAGGACCTCCCGCCTTGGGCTGACATGCCGGGCGCACAGCAGGAAAGACTCGGAAAGCTGTAGACTGCCAAATGACAGCAATGAGTGCTTTCAGTGCCGCTAACTTTGTCGAGACTGCTGCTGCTACTTCGGGGCTACTGCTATACCACTGTTGCTACTACTGGTACCTTGCTACCTCGAGCGGTCGTCCTCTTGCAGTTGCTCTTGGTTTAAGAGCACCACCACTGCAACTTTTGCAGCTCGCACACTTTCACCAGAGCCCTAGAACCCTAAACCCTAAACCCCTAAACCAACCCGTAACCCTGAACCCTAGACAATCGGTTGAGTATTGTGATTTTACGTCAGATGCAGCGCTCCCCATGGGGCCAGTCGGGAGGCTTCGGCAGGCCGAACGAGGAGGGATTAAAACCACGAAAAGCTCTAAACCCTACAATCCTGAAATTGGGGTTTAGGGTTTAGGGATTAGGGAAGTAAGAAATAGGACAACACCCTAAACCCTAGAACCCTGAACTAGTGCTTAAGTTCCTGCCACCGAGGGTGCAGGTCCTCCAGGATGTGCTCAGTGGCAAGCCGTCACGGTCTGAGTGGCCGTTGTGGGTTAGGTTTAGGGTTTAGGCTTTAATGTTCAGGATTTAGGGTTTCGGGTGAAGGGTCTACGGGGTCCTCTTAAATGCACTTCCAGGGAGTTGAAAAGGTTTAGATCGTGCTGTTTGGGTAGCTGTTGGGGTATGGCTGAGTTGAAGTTATAACTATATCGTTCTTGCGGTTTTGTGGTGTCCTGGAACCCTATGAACAAGCCCTAATCCCCAATAAGCCTCAAACCCCTGAAAGCCCGAAATCCGAAACCACTCCAGGGCAAGCCCTAAACCCTTTTCCCCCTCAGAATGAAGCCCCTAAGCCCCAAACCCTAACGGCTGAAGCCCGCAACTTCGGTTCCTCACATTGCTGAATCAATTGGTCCAAAGCTCCACAAGCTCAAAGGAGCATGAAGAGGAGGATACCAGGTCCGATTATTTTCCCTAGACCCTAAACCCCCCTTCTTGTGAGCTGAAAGTCTCTACACTGGTTCTCGTGAGTTCACCTTGATCACAACACCCCGCACGCTCAACACTGCACCTTAACCCCAAACTCTGCAAGCCAAGCCCTACACACTCAACCTGGAAGCCCCAAACCCTAGACAACCCGACAGCACTCCTATAAGAGCTTGTAAACCCCTTTACAACCTCGGCACTCTCAACCCTACTAACTCTCGTCCCCGATGGGCGACGCTGCGGCATGGCGTGGAGAGGAGTGTGGAGGCACCGATGCACTGAAGAAAGCTTCCATTTTTGCTGTGGCTTCTTAGTTGTACTGGTACCTCCCTAAACCCGAAACCTTAAGCCCTGAACCCTAACCAGGATTCTTCAGGGGTTTCGTGTGCGGTATGCAGGATTTGCGGTTCAGTTCTTTAAGGACCATCTCGGTAGGATTCTTGCTGTGGGTCTTTTTAACCCAGACTGTCTCCATTCGGTCCCTGTCCGATGTGGCAGGCTTCTGTGAACAGGCTTCGAGCCCGGTTTCAAGAAAGCTGGGAGCGGGCGAGGTTTTTGCGCATCGGTCAGAGGTGTAGGGTTTAGAGTTGAGTTTAGATTTAAACACAAGACCTCGCTTGCTAGGCATCTGCTGTCACCGCTACTTCTCCATGCCGGTTTCAGGCTCGAATGGGCTCCCTTCGGGAACAGTGAGCTTACGGGTATAAGAGTACTTGTAGGACTTGGGGGTTGTCATGACTGTTGGGGATTTGCACAGGGCGTAGGGTGTCGGGGTTTGGGGTTGAGAAGAATGCTCCTTATTGGGTAACATGACTGTCATGCGTATGAGCATGTAGCATTTGCCTTCGTGGTGCACTGTGTGGTTCTGAAACGCGGTACTTGGAGGGTCGGGGGACTTAGTAACTGTTTTTTTAGGGACTTATAAGTACCATAACCCCAATTAGGGTCCCTTCCAGGGTACTTATAAGTCCACTTACTACCTACTTACTAAGTCCCCCGACCCTCCAAGTAGTGCAGCTAACGACCCAGACCAAGGCCCCGCATGCGAGTTCCAGCACCAGAAAGCCCTGAGTCAGCTCTACACCCCGAAACCCAGAAATCGGTTTAGGGTTTAGAGTTTAGGGTTTAGGTTTTAGTGTTTAGGAGAAACTCCGCAGAAGCCTTAGAAAACGAGCTTTTTTGGAACGCTGGCAAAAGCATAAAGCCCTGAACCGTAAACTTTCAGAAGGCACCCTTGACACCTCGTCTAGGTGGCACTTTGGGAACTCTTAAGCTTTCCCCTTGTGGTTCTTATAGACGTACCTATTCACAAATGGGAGTTTCCGAAACTTAGGGGGGTACCTTGTTTCAGGATCCTTATAATAAGGATTATAAAATTTGGGTATTGCATTAGGGTCCCCTATTTTCATCGGAAACTCCCAAACCCTAAACCCTTCATTGAACCCTATAGATCCCTTAAAGGAACCCTTATGGTACCCTTTAAAGGAACCCTAAGGGTCCCTGATTTTAAGGGCCCCAAACCTGCAACCCGCAGAAGCCTCAAAAGGCCCAGCGCGGGCCGCACCAGCTGCGAGGGTGAGCCGTGGGCTGAGCTCTTTTCAGGGTTCAGGGTTAAGGGGTTCAGGGTTTAGGGGTTCAGGGTGTAGGGTTTAGGGGTTTAGGGTTTGGGGTTCAGGGGTTTAGGGGTTTAGGGTTTAGGGTTCAGGGGTTTAGGGGTTTAGGGTTTAGGGTTCAGGGTGTAGGGTTTAGGGGTTTAGGGTTTGGGGGTTCAGGGTTTAGGGTTCAGGGTTTAGGGTTTAGGGGTTTAGGGTTTAGGGTTCAGGGGTTTAGGGTTTAGGGTTCAGGGTTTAGGGTTCAGGGTAGGGTTTAGGGGTTTAGGGTTGAATTCGATTGTATATGTATATATATATATATATACACCATAGGGTCTCGGATCGAAGCTGGAGCTAAGACTTCAGCTATTGCTGGCGACCCCAAGTGCCACGACAGGTAGGCACGCATTCCAGCCATTGCGAACCAGGTGACAAGATCACCGGCCTGGCACCGCAGAGCACGAGCTGCTCGCTCCAAAGCACGGCGCTCCATCCACAAAGCAAGGAGGACTCACTCCTGCCCTCCTCGGAGAGCCCTTGCACTTCTTCGTTCACATCATACTCGACCTCAATATCGCGAGTACCAGATGGGCAGAGCGAGAGAAACATGGACGGACAAGCAAGGAAGACGCGACTACCGAGACTACACCGATTGGTCTTCTTCGTCATGGTCACACAAGGGCTATGGCAAGGGGCAGGATGGCCCCAATGGCCGCAAGCCCAAAGGAGGGCGGCCGGAAGCGGTCCACTTCCCGACTTTCGAGGAGATGGAGATACCCTCACAACCGGCAGCACAGCAGCCTCGCAGGCCGAACAGCGAGATGGAGACAACAGAGCCGGGCACAGAGATCTCCCGAAGTGTGCAGAAAGTGATCAATGCTCTACGAAGGGCAGAGGGCCGACTGCGCCGAGGAGCCGAAGAAAAACAGGCTTTGGACAGCAAATGGCACAGCTTCCAAAAGGAGATGAAGCAGAACTTCATGAAGGAGCGTTCAAAATATATGGATCGCCTCCTCAAGAACCGGGAAGAGATGGCAGAGCAAACTGCGGCCAGGGACATGGCCATCGAAGATCTGGCACATGCCCTCAACGGCCAGACTGTCTCGCGACAGACCGAAGCAGAGGCAGAGGACAGCAAGCAGGCGGAGCTGGAATGGGACCAACTGTTGGGCGAGGAGGACTCTGCGGACGATCTGTCGGGGGCCCTCCACGGCATTTTGAACAAGGGTCGGCTCAACACCCAGACCAAGCAAAAGATGCTCAGGTTGCTCAATGCCCGCCTCCAGCAGGAACCACAGCCTGCCACTCCGGTCAGGCGGGTCTCCTCAAGAAGGGAGAGGACGCCACCGGTCGACAAGCGAGCCAAACCCAAACCGGAGGAAGATGCTATGACGGCATCAGCAGGAGATGGAGGCACCCCATATATGGATGGGACTGGCCTGCTCGAGGACCCCTACCTGGTTTCCCCGACAGCCAACAAGGGCCTCCCCACCCTCCGAGAGCGGTCTCGACAGCGGTCCAAGGCCAGGACCCCGATCAAGGAGGTCGGTCGCAAGCCACCACCGCCCCCGACAGGAGCACGCAGCTTGACGGAAAAGCTGGCGGAGAAAAGACAGGACGAGCTCACCAGAGACGAGATCCCGTTGAACATCGAGGACGATACGGACGAGGAGGAGATGATTGCCGGCTTGGAGGGCAAGACGAAAACGGATGTGGAGTAGCAGTTCGCCATGGTTCCGCTCATGGAAAACTGCCTCCCCGTATGAGTGGTCGTGCGAAGCCTGGGCTTTTTCGGTCAGTCCCGGGGCCACGGCCAGGAGTACTATATGGTGACTGGCTTGGTGAGCCTGGCCGCCCTAATCCCGTTGGCGGCTTTTTCGGTTGGTCCGCCCCACAGCCTGACTACATTCGCGGCTACGCCTTCGATGTCTTCGGGCTCTTGGAATGTCTTTGGGACATTGTTCGGAACCTCGTGAAGCAACATGCAGATGCCTGGGAAACGGCATGCTGTGCTGGAGCGAACTCCTTCAGGATGCTCCTTCTTCTGACCTGCATATGGACCATGCTTGCAGGCTGGCGACGACAACCCATCCGGGTTGTGAAGCGACGGGCTACACCCTGTCGTCCTTTGTTCCTAGGAGTGATCCTGGCGGCGACTATGATTGGCAGCTGCCAGGCAATACCTGCAGATACTGGACCGGCCGCCCGCGGGCAGTCTGGCGACTGGCGGAGACCTACGGATCTGGAGATTTGGGCGGCGGGGCAACAAAGTGCCAACGAGCAACTACTTGAAGCCCTAACCCGTCACATCCTGGAACTACCTGTGCAGAGTGGTGGGACTCTGCCTTCTCAACAATATCCGGAGGGGCCTCCACGAATGCCACCGGAGCCCCCGGACCCTCTTGGCGAGGTTGAGGAGATTGAGCAGGTGTTTGATGACGATGAGCTCCAGACTGAGCACATCTCCTTCTGGATCTCCTCTCCTGGCCTACTTCCAGAGTCATTGGATGTTGGGCTGATGTTCCCGCTCACGATTCAAAGAATCGAGGATATGATTCGAGAATCCTTGCGGGGTTTGGACACAGAGTGGCTGAAAGACCTGGTCCCGGTTCAACCACAGGTCAGCGACTACTTTGTCAGCTATTTGTACCTGCCGGAATGGGTAAAGCACTCACACCTCAGGGTTGTCGTTTTAGACGGCCGGCGCTTTGAGAAGGGCATCTTCCCGGTCTACTTCGACGGCAAAATTACACGATTACGTGTCCTACGTGCACTGGGATTGGAAACCATGACCCATGCTGAGGTCTTTGCAGGTGGATCACTCGCCCCTCTCGGACCTGAGGACTCCATCGAACCGACCTCTGGTTGTTACGTACAAGTTCTAGAACGAGGGGAAGTAGTGGAATGGGCAGGCGATCTGCTCCCTCGTTTACAGGACCCCCTGCTCTGGGACCCTGATGTGCCGCACCCTGACATCCTGGCTGGCAAGTTCATCGAGTTTCAGTCGCACTCACATGAGTTCCTCCATTTAGCCCGCCGCTCGGACCCACGAGATCCCATACAAGTCGCGAGCACAGCCTTCGAATTTGAGCCCAGCCACTTCTGGCTCCGAGCACCTACGGACAGGCCGCACAGACTGTCCCGAACAGGACAACAGATTCACTCGGTCATCGCTGTCGTGGAGAAAGCCATTTTCCCCAAAGAGGACCACAGAGTGATCCTACTTGATCTTCGACCAGTTGGTAAATGGATCCAATGGGTGGCAGTTCGCGATGGACATTTTCACCCGGGGGATTATATCGAGGGGCTCCACCTCCTGCGTATACCAGGCTACACGGTGGTCGTCCTTGGTGGGCGGAAGCTTCGTCGGCCAGGCTGGCTTCAGGTGGAGGATGGGGAAACCCTGGAGGTCCGATTCATCACAGAAAGCGAGGCTGTGACCTCCAGTGACTCGCCATCGTCCCCTGGCAGTGATGCAGATGACAGCAGCACCACGAGAGATGCTATGCCCGACTCGTCAGATCTTTCGGACCATGTCCCACCGAGTGGACCGGGCCCATTCGGCCCTCCAAGGCCTCGGCCGGTGAATGAAGACCGTAGCCGGAGCCCGCCCAGGGCAGACCCACAGGCGCAGACCCAGTCAAGCATGCCACTCGCACCGACGTGCTGCCCCCGCCAAGCTTCAACATTGCAGCGGAATCGCTCCATCTTCCCCACGGTCCACAGGATCTTGCATTTTTGAGGAAGCCATGGGCACCAAATTGGGCCGCTGCCAACGTGTCAACCGGACCTCCATTACCTCCCCCGTCCCAACAGGCCCTGAGATCCACTTGTGAATGGGTGTCACTACTGCCACGTATGCAGCAGGAAACCCCCAACTTTGAGATCTACACAGATGGCTCCGCAGATACCAAAGGTCACTGCAGTGGTTATGGAGTTGTTATTCTGCTCCGATTTGGAGCCTGTTTGGCACTTTTCGGGGTGCTCGGGGCTCAACTGCATGGGGATCCAACTACACCATGGGCCCTCTCAGACAACATGGCCCTCCATGCGGAGCAAGTTGCCCTGGCAGTTGCATTGATGTGGGCGATCCAATTAAGATCTACGATCCCTCATGTACAATGCCAGATCAACTTCGACTGTTATGCAGCGGGCTGGGCTGCTGAAGGCTCGTGGGACCCTGGCGACGAACTGGGGAGAATGAACAGCCACCTCGAGCTCATTGCAAGGGCCACAGAGGGAGTCAGTCTCTCCTTCAACCATGTCAAAGGGCACTCCGACCACCCCTGGAATGATCTTGCTGACCATGTTGCCAAAACGGCTGCTCGTAGAGATCACACATGGCCGGAACCGCCCAGAGAACTCTGTACATTTGTGCAACATCAAGATTTGTCATGGATGGCTGCGGAGGTCGATGCCCAGCATTACCACGCGACCCCGATCATGGATGGCCAATTGCTCTGGCAACAACCGTCTTCTACCCCCTCTCCTCTCGCTCCCGATGACTTGGTGAAGATTGTTGGGACCAATCATGCTGACCATGCAACTTCTTCTGGCTTCAGCTGCGAGGTCGCTACCATCAATGTGCAAGGGATGCGGTCCAAGTTCAAGTACATCGAGGAACAGCTGCATCAGCGAAACATCAACTTGGTGTTCCTGCAGGAAACAAAGACTCCTTCGGGCGTCACCCAGTCGAGCAAATACCTCCGGCTACATGCTGAGGCCAAATCCCACTGGGGCACAGCGATATGGATACATCGCCGCCTTGGCCTCCTACAAACTGAGGAAGGCCCACTGCATGTTGACGACCATGATGTCTCTGTCGTCCATGAGGATCCGAGACTCCTAATATTACTGATCGCTGTTGGGCAAGTCAAAGTTGGACTGCTGAGCGGCCACTGCCCTCATGAGGCCAGAGGTGAAGAACGAGAGGACTTCTTCTGCCGGCTGCGACAAGGACTAGAGCGTCTCCGCAAGGTGCAACTTGTGCTTGGAGGCCTTGACCTCAATGGGAGGATACCAGCCAATTATGCAGGCGTCAGTGGTGATGCGGAATACGGGGACCCAGACCGCAATGGATGGTTAGCTGCTGACCTCTTTGCTGACAATGGGATCTGGGTGCCATCTATGTATGGCGCGCTCCATCAAGGTGAGCACACCACGTACTACCACCCGATGGGCTCAGCCCACCGCATCGACTACAACGTCATAGGAGGCCGTGCCGTTGTCGAAAGAGCCTGCTCCAGGGTCGATGAAGGCTTTGACAACGGCAGCCCACAGGATGATCATCAACTTCTTTGTCTTCGTCTCCAGGGACAACTTGATGCATCACCTCAGCAAGGGCGGCTACGTCGTAAGCGGTATGACGTGGACAAGATGTACACACCGGAGGGCAAAGCTGTACTCCGACAAGGATTTGAAGCCTTTGTGCATCCGCACTGGGAGACTCACCCGGACCAACACTGCAAGCTGCTGGAAGAACACATCCGTGGTATGCTGGAGCAGAACTTCGCCCTCCCTGTAAAGAAAAGTTCGGCATCTTATATTCCTGAGAAAGTCTGGGTTAGACGAGAGCAAAAGCTACGCTTCAAACAGCGCACTCGAGGGCGAGTCGGATTCTGGAAGGATATGAAGTGCCGGGCATTTCTGCAATGGAGAGACCAGGAGGACTATCATGTTGAACACCTCGCCAAAAAACAAGGGCTGCTCTATGCGATCGCCTCCGCTGCCATCAAGATCGTCACGGGTGTGATCAAAAAGGACATTGCTGCCGCTAAGAACAGTTTCCTACGTGGTGTTGCTCGCGAAGGACACCAAGGAGCGGCAAAAGTGTTGCAACGTGTCAAGCAAGCAGGCCTTGGTGGCTCGAAGTCTCGACCGGTCAATCGGCCCCTCCCTCTTCTTCTACATCCTGAGAACGGCTCTGAGATCGTCACCAGAGCCCAACGTGACGATGTCTGGCTCCAGCACTTTGCCAATCAGGAGCAGGGAGAACTTATGCAGATTGAACAGTATCTCCAGGGCACGGGGAGATGCCACTATGAAGATCATCTTGAGTGGCAAATTGGCCTCCTCCCCTCCTACCTCGACATCTCCCAGGTTCTCCGTGGGATTGGAAGAAAAAAAGCAGCTGGCCTGGACAATATCCCCGGGGACGCCCTGGCCGCGACACCAACAGCCTGTGCTCGACTCCTCTTTCCAATATACCTCAAATCACTTCTGGGGCAGAGACAGCCCTCTCAGTGGAGAGGAGGGATCCTGTTTGAGGCCTACAAGAACTCTGGCCTCCAAAGCTCACTCGCGAATTACCGAAGTCTGTTTGTGTCCAACCAGCTTGGAAAGGCCTTTCACCGGACGGTGCGGAATGTCGCGCAAGCCAATGGCAGGGATGAGTTGCATGATCTGCACTTGGGCTCTAAGCAGAAGGCCCCCGTGCAGTTTGCCTCGCTCTTCATCCTATCGCATCTGCGACGGTGCAAGGCACAACGCCGGAGCGCTTCGATCCTTTTTTTGGACACTGCCTCGGCATACTACAGAGTCATCCGAGAACTGGCCCTTGGAGACATTCGTCTTGACAGTACGATCTTCACGCTGTTCAAGCGATTCGGCCTCAGTTCAGATGATATGGGAGATCTCTTGGAAACGATAGAAGCCGGAGGCATGCTGTTGCAATCAGGAGTACCAGATGCTCTCTGCAAAATCGTCCGTGATTTCCATTTGGACACTTGGTTTATCACGCGGTTTTCGAACGGGAAGCAGATTTGCAGCAGTTATGCAGGAAGTCGCCCAGGCGAGTCCTGGGCCGACCTTATATTTGCTCACATCTATTCCCGAATCCTCCACCGCACGCAAGAATTTATTGCTGCGGAGGGCCTTGGACATCATCTTCAGCACAACCCACAAGATGGGATCTTCTGCCAAGACCCTGGAGATGTGCTCCTGCCCAGCACTGACGCCACTTGGGCTGATGATAGTGCTTTTCCGTTGGAATCGGAGAACCCGGGGATACTGCTGGAGCACACCAGTAGACTTTGTTCACTGGTGGTGTCGTTCTGTGAAAGCCATGGCCTCATGCCCAATTTACGGCCTGGCAAGACCAGCCTCCTGATCTCCCTCGTCGGCCGTGGAGCAGACAAGGCTCGGCGGAGGTTCTTTGCGGATGGAGCCAAACATCTTCGACTCCCTGACCTTGGAGTCGATATTCCGGTTGCGGACAGATACAAGCACCTCGGTGGCTATGTTGACCAGAAGTTGTCGATGCAGCCGGAGGTGAGATTCCGCCTAGCGCAGGCGAGTAGCTCTTACGACTCGGCGCGCTATCTCCTCCTCAACAACCCGGAGTTGCAGCTTGACACGCGAGCTGCTCTTTTCGAGAGTGCGGTTACTCCCAGTCTCTTCAATGTCGGTCTTTGGATCCCACAAGGCCAGGCGTGGGAATCACTGCAAACTGGATACTCCAGACTGGTCAGAAGGCTCCTCTCGAGGGAGGCCAAGGATGACCTCTTCCACCTCCCGCTCCCTATGGCGCATTGGATCACCAATTGCTGGGGACTGGATCTGGTGGCACGGCGCGCACGCCTAAGTCTGCTGGTATCCCTGGTGTTGGCAGGCCCCCCTCTGCTCTGGGCTGCCCTTCAGGCGGAGCAGAACTGGCTTTCGATCGTTTGTGAAGATCTTCGATGGCTGATCGACGAGGACCACGACAACTGGCCACGACTACATGCTAGCTCTTGGCCCCAATGGGTACGGCTCATAACCCATAATACACAATCGTTCCGTCGACAAGTCCGCCGTAGACTGCGACACGCACATGAAGGCCAATGCCGTCAGGATCTCGAGTTGATCTGCCTTTGGCATTGCTACAGGACCCTCACCGCTAGGCTTGAGCAGCCGCTGTGCCTTCTTGCCTGGAGGTGTCGGGTCTGTGATCGGTCCTTCAGGAGCAAAGCTGCTCTGGGGGCACACTTGTTCAAGTGCCATGCCAGAGTGGCAGAGCATCGAAAGGTCACCTCAGGGACAAGATGTCAGGCCTGCCATCGAGAATACTGGACGAGCAGTCGACTTGAACGACATCTCCGCGATAGCCGATGCTGTGTAAACAGCCTGAAACAGGCTGGGCTTTGGGCATCCCAGCTGCAACCAGGTGTTGGCAGCCGCAACCGTCGCAAGATTGACGTCGACCAGTTTACACTATCGGCGCCTCAGCAATGCGCAGGAGTACTTCTCCCCCCTGCGGAAACCTCGTGGAGCTCAGTGCAAACATCTGCCTACAGAGATATCTGCGAAAAACTTCCTGCAGTCGGGGATTTGGATACAGCTCAGGCTACCATCAACACGATCCTCGCGCTCTACCCGCTCTACCCTGACGAGATCCTGGTGATCTGCGACTACATCCTTGAGGAGCTTGCTCTGCTCCAGGCTGATGAGGACGTTCGCCCATGGGATACAATGTCCTACCAGGCAATAGTCTCAGCCTTGGAGACAACTGCTGCTGGATGCTGGACTACCTGTACATCTCAGATTTCTGAGCCGAAGCAGCAACGAACCCTTGCAGGTTTACGGAAGATACTTTCGAAGACTGATTGGGGTATGATGCTTGCCAGATTAGCTCAGTCTCACGGGACCCCCGAGGAGGTTCGTATTACAGTGCGGAGTGGCTGGGAAGCTGAATGGCTACTGCACAGCAGGAACACCTCGGTTTCAGCCGTGAGAGCTGACCTGAGCTCCTTGATGCCAGAGCAGCTGAGGTCTGCTTGGAACATGCTCCTACAGGGTAGCATAGTACAGATCCAAGCACCAGCGAACTTCTGGCTGTTGGCCCTCAGTGCGCCCTTTCGTTGCGCCAGGGCTCCTTTTGCAAGTCCTAATTAGGCTGCGTACACCTCTAACAGCACGGAAATGCGGAAATATACACCATATATATGCTTATGTGGGTTGTTTAAGAGGGTGTTAACAGTGTTTTAGTGCTCTTTTCAAGGTTCCATAAGGGAAATATCAGACCAACCCTAGACCGCAGTGTCGGAAGAAGGGTTACCATGCGGTGATCCTGAACCCGAAAAACCTTAAAAACCCTAAAACCCTGAACCCCAAAATTTCCAAACCTTCAAATCCCTAAGCCCTAGACTCCCTAGACCATAAAAGCCCTGAACCCTAAACCCGAAACCCTAAACTCATAATCCCTAATCCCTAAACCCTAAGCCTTAAACCCTAAACCCCAAATCCGAAACCCTAAACCCTAAACCCTACCGAGGCGTTGGGATCATCTTTTCGGGGCCCTGTCGGAGGCGTCGGAGAACAAGGAGCTTGCTCTCTCCAGACTTCGGGGCTTAGGGTTCAGGGCTTCGGGATTTAGTGTTTAGGGTTTAGGGCTTAGAGTTTGGGGTTTAGGGTTCAGGGGTTTAGGGCTTCGGGCTTGGGGTTTAGGGTTTAGGGGTTCAGGCTCCGGGCTTGGGTTTAGGGTTTAGGGTATCCTAGGTAGAATTAGGGAGACCCCTTAAAGGGGTCCCTTCTTGACCCTATACTTCTGGCTTTCAAAAGCGACCTTATTGCGAGGGTCTATATCCCCAAGGGTCCCCCTAATCCTAACTCCTACAATAAGGCTTTCTGTAAAGATTCCATTACCCCAAAACAGGTTCGGTTCTAGAAGGGTTCGCTACGTTGTAAGGGTTACTCTGACGGTTCGATAAGGTTTCCTTCAAGGGTCCCTTCAAGGGTGCCTAAGGTTCATATACTTAAAGGATCATGGAACTTAGTAACTAGGCTTATAATTAGGGTAACTATACTTATAACTACTTGTAACCCCAATTAAGGTACTTATAACGTTACTTACTAAGTCCCATGATCCTCCAAGTAAGGGAGGGTTCCTCTCAGGGTTCCTATCAAGGATCTCCTGGAGATTCTGTCTGGGTTCCTTTAAGGGTAATGTAGGCACCTAATTATGAAGCCTAGGGTTCTTTTAAAGGGGTCTATAAGGGTTACTATAAAGGATCTATAAGTGATCCATAAGGGTACTATAACAATGTAGGAACCTAACAAAGAAGCCTTGGGCCTTTGTTAAAGTTCCTTATATGAATCTTACTATTTTGGGGGTTATAGGCCCAGGGTTTTCTTAATCAGGTTCCTACATTACCTTTCAGGGTCCATAACATGGAAGCATTCTACAAAGGCTTTCGGATCTACGGGTTGAGGGTGTAGGGTGCCCGACTCGAGGTGTTTTTGAGGGTGTCTCTTTCCCGTATTTTCCCTGTCTAGCGATTCTGCCAAAACTTTATTCCAATTTCTAAGGCCCTTTATGAAGCCAGCGACGGTTTTGGGAGACTCTCATACTTGACGGGGTGAATTCAGCCTGAAACCTTGAAACTTAAACCACCTAAACCTAAGCCCTTAAACTCTGAACCCGACACCGGTGTAAGCCTGGGATTTTTAAAGCCTCATATCGCTTTACCAGATGATGGAGGCTTTTGGGTTTAGGGTTTTTGGATTTACGAGTTTCGGATTTTGGGTTCAGGAGTTTCGGGTTTGGGGGTTTGGGTTTTGGATTTAGAGGTTTAGGGTTTTTGTTAAGCATTCTGACTCAGGTACAGCCCTGCCTTGACAACAGGTCATGATGCAGGAACACGGGCCGCGACACTAAGGCTCGAACACCCGGCGTCTACAAGGCCACGGGAAGGAAAAGTGTCCGAGTGTAGCCCATAGGCACAGTCCCAGGAAAGCTCCGTTTTCTGACATGGTAGCGGAGCACTCCGAAGGAAGTGCGATGATGCTACTGGAGCTAGGAACCACGTGCGTTGCAGCCATGGGAATTCTCCTCATGGTTTGGTTTGCAAGGAACTGCTGTTCTAGCAGGAAGTACGAGTGCGAGGCAGGAACCATCGGCCCTGTCTTCGTCACTTCCAAAGCTGGGAAGAAATACCACAGGAAGAAGTGTGAGCATCTCCTGCATGGAGGTGAGCAAAGAGAAGTGGTGTCCTTTGCGCCTTGCAAGGATTGCCGCGCACGAAGCTACATGTCGTCCCGGGAACTCCCGGATGTTCGGAGCGACATGAGAGTGTGCCGCTGGACTTTTTGTCTGGTGATGGTTTTGGTTGTCATGGTCTTTGAGTTCGGTGTCTACGCAGGAAAGCAGGTAACCCTCAAGGAAGAACAAGCCTATGCCCTTGAGATGTACAAGTACAAGAACAAACCCCAGCTTGGTAGCCCAGGAAAAGAACCACATGGTGTCCCTAGCCGCGTTGTCGCCTCCTACCAGGAAGAGCCCAATACGCACTACAACCCGGAACCCAAGGAACCGCAGAACAAGAAGTACTACACGATCATGGAGAACCTAGGAGAGAAGTTGCAGTACTTAGTGAACTCCGTGGAGATTGCCCAGGAAGAGTTTGAGTCCCTGAAGTACATGTTTTTCAGCAGGAGCCTTGAGCCGAGCTACGCCCCTGTGATCACAGTCAAGTTTCACTATTTTGCGCGCTTTATCATGTACGTGTTTGAAGGAAGAAGTTGGAGTCAGAGCATGAAGCTGTTGGTGTTTGCAACAACAGCCCCAGGAATGATACTTTTGGTCGCGTTGTCGTTGTTGTGTCAAGTGAAGCACCTTCGCCTCACAGGAAGCCGAGCAGCTAAGCGAAGGAACCGCCCTTCGCTGTGCGAGAAGAGGAAGATGCACAAGGCCGCGTTCATGTGCATTCTGCTGTACAGTAACCTAGAGATAGCAGCAGGAATGGAGCAAGCAATACAGGCACTAGCAACACAGGCAACAGCGTCAGCACAACAGATTCAGCAGATGACTGAAGCAATCAGACAGTCAGCAGCCAGCAGTACAGACCGAACACAAGGAATGGCAAATCTGTTCGAACGCTTGGCTGCAGCGGGAGAACAGAGAGAGCAGAACTTAGTTGGAGCATTGCAAAATGTGCTCCAACAGTCCAGATCGGACATGGCACTTTCTCAGGAAGCATTGAGTTCGAGAATAAAGGAAGTTTTGGTTGAGAGTCGCGAGAAAGGAGAGATCCAGCTTCATAAGCTGGTGAAGGCACCAGAAGCTTTTTCACCGAGCACGTGGCAGGAAGAACGCAGCAGTTTTGCTGAGTTCAAACATCGTTTAAGGACATGGTTGGGAGCGATCGATGATGAGATCCTGACCTTGATGGACAAAGCAGAAAAGGAACCAGCCAAGGAGCTCGAGTTTGACAAGCTCACCATAAAGGAAAAGACACAGAGCAAGAAGCTCTACAGCATTCTCTCAAGCTATACCAAGAACCGTCCACAGCGTGTTGTTACAGCAGTCAAGGAAGAGAACGGCATTGAAGCATATCTTCAACTTGTGAACTTCAACCAGCCCAACACGAAGGCACGTTCTCTACAACTACATCGAGAAGTCATGAGCTTTCGCTTCGACAAGGACAAAACCTACAACGAGAACTTCTTGAAGTTTGAGGAACTGATTGATGACTACGAGAAAGCAAGCAGCGAGAAAACCTCAGATTCGTTCAAGATGGGCACTGTCATTGACAGTGTTCCAGCGCAGGTACGCCAACACATTCTCCTCAACATCAAGGAAGACACTACCTACAACGACCTCCGCACCTTCCTCACCACCTACGAGAACGCAAAGAGATGGACACAGCCTACCACCACCGACTTGATCAACAGTGGCAAGGACCACGGTGGACAAGCAGCTATGGATGTGTCCCAGGTCAAAGGTAACTGGAAAGGAAAAGGCAAAGGCAAGGACCAGTGGAAAGGCAAAGGCAAAGGAAAAGGAGACAAAGGAGGCTGGTCCAAAGGCGGAAGGAAAGGAAACTGGAAAGGTGGAAGAGGACGAGGAGGAAGGTTTGGAAGAGGAGGATACAAAAGCAGCGGAAAAGGCTACAACAACAAAGGAAAAGGAAAAGGAAAAGACAGCTACAGCAAAGGAGGCTCAGCACCAGGCGTGTGCAACTACTGCCAAAAGTACGGCCACTACGAAGCACAGTGCAGGAAGAAGCAAAGAGACATGGCCCAAGGAGTGAGGAACGTTCAGGAAGACGAGCAAAGTGAAGCGCCAACAAGTGTCTCAGCAGCACCCACTACCAGCACCAGGACAACGGCCATTTCGTCAGCAAGCACCGCCAGCACAACAAGAACGCAAGCAAAGGTACGCCAGGTTACTCTCTACCATATTGGAGAGGAACCAGAACAAGCCCACGATGGACCGCAGATCTACCCCATCGACAGCGAAGAGGAAGCAAACTATGAGATGACGTATTTCAACAACATCATGATGGTGCAGGTAGAAGTTTCTTTGTGTGGTGAAAGTGAAGAAGAAGAAGGAAGTCAGAGATGGAAGGACGATCCACTGTACCTATGGTACAGTGACCGAGAAGAGCCTGTCTTCTCAGTGAGGACAGTCACTCAGGAACCTTTCACAAAGCCCAGGAACATCGAAGTGATCCTTGACTCTGGAGCAGATGTTTCCATTGCTCCAACGTGGATGCGAAAGTACGGGAAGAGAGTTCAGGTAAAGTCTGTTCAGTTGCGCGACGCACAAGGAAGAGCCATTGCCGTGCAGGAACACCGCCTCATCAACCTTGAGTTCAAGGACAAAAGAGGAAGCAAAGTTCAAGTTGCAGAAGTGTTCATGATCGGGAACGTGATCAACCCTTTGTTGACCATAGGAGAGATGATGAAACAAGGATGGATGCCCCAAGGTGATGATCAGTCCGGCATGTCCCTTGTTGACAGTGACAAGAACACAGCGATCCCAATCTACTTCAGGAACAACTCTCTTGCAACCAACGCTTTTGTGCAGGCAGTGGTCGCCGTTCGTGAAGGACAACTTGTTCCAGTGATCCTTAGTGATGCACTTCAGTTTTTGGAAAAGGAACAAAGACCAGGTTGGTCCACTCCGGCAGAAGGAACCATCCACCACGGCATGAACAACTCTCACTTTGTGGATCCGACGATGACCAGGTCGTTTCACGAGAGCCTCTTTTACAGGACCACCTTCGCCAAGGAAAACAAGGACAACAGTGGACAGTGGATCCTAGTTGAGATCAACAGACCCTACCAGGAAATGGAAGATCCGTTCATGGAACTTCCCTACAGCGAGACAGAGACCATCACAATCTTCATAGCGCAACCTGAGAGTCCAGTCAGGTACTGCAAAGCAAAAGGAACAGACCACAACGTTGAGTTTGAGGTCTTCACCGACGACAGCTGGGAAGTTTCAGAGACAGGTGAAGAAGTGATTCGTCACCACCGAACACAAAGGAAGTTTCTTTTCAACCCTGCAGGAATACCTGGTTGTCCTACAGACCTCAGC